AGCACAAAACCCTAGATAAACACAGAGGATACAAAAATAAAACCCTTTTTCTTTAAAGAAGAAAAGTAGGAAGGAAGGAATGGAGGGAGGGAGGAAGGAAGGAAGGAAGGAAGGAGGGAGGGAGGGAGGGAGGGAGGGAGGGAGGGAGGGAGGAAAGGATAGAATAAGCCACTAAATCTAGATCCCCGACCTTTCACTATATCTCTTCTTGGTAGGACATGGCTTCAGCTTTTAATTGGAATATTTTTCATAATTGCTGTCATTTAACACATTTAGTCTGTCAAACCATGAGATGTCTTTATAGCCATATAATAAACCCTAGAGAACAACTTCTCTGACTGTAGCCATCTGCAATGATCACAAGAGTAGCTTACAAAATATTGACAGTCTTTATGGTAACAGGATACACATGGCAACCCACAATTATGTGTGGCTGCATTCAATTAGTGCTGTACAATTACACAGTTTTATTGCTTAGTTAAAACAGTGAAAGCACTCTATACTAGGTAATTTGCACTAATCCTCATCTCTTTAATAGCCCCTCGGTGTTTAAAATGTTGGGGACCCTCTATAGTATTTAAAGGTCCTGCATTGAACATTAAGTGTCTCACATTGTGAACACTCCTTGACTGACAATTAACATACTCCCACTTCATGTGTAGGTCATGGTTTATAGAGGCTTTAAAATATAGCCAAACGTTCCTCATCCAGAGCAACCCCACTCAACGAACCAGGGTGTCCAAGTCTATAAAGGCAACTTGCTAATGTCCTTTCTGAAAATGTCCAGAATAATGAGAGTCACTGAGTTGACTCAAGGCAGAATTGATTCTGAGAGTTTTACCAACCAAAGCCTGGGGATTTCAGAATGGGAACTTGTAAGAGGCCTTTTTGATTTCTAATCTTAATTAAACACTTGGTTTAAAGTGAAGGGATAGCTGCTCTTTAGGAAGATACTTAGCAGAGATGGTTTTGCGAGAATGTGTGTGTATGTGTATGTGTGTGCGTGCATGTGTGTGTGTTTGTGTGTGTGTGTGTGTGTGTGTGTGTGTGTGTGTGTGTGTGTGTGTGTGCTTGAAACAGATGTATTGAACAAGCTATGATTTTTTAACCAAAGTTTTGGTTACATTTACAAATGGCCTTGCTCATAGCCCTCTTCAACTGGCTCTGTAAGAGAGAAGGAGAGTATAGCTAGGTTTGCAGCTGGCACTGGTGGTGAGCCCCGGATGTAAGCCAAGGAAAGGAGAATTTCCTATTGGAAGAGAAGGAGCACTGAAACATATTGTTTCCCATCCTTCTCCCGAAGTGTTGAGAGGGAAAACTCCAACTCCACAGTAACCTTCTTTTCTTCCCTCCCTGACAAGAAGTAAAACAGAATTTTATACTAGTGCTTGGCCATTCATTTATCTACAAAAACATTTGTTGAATCACTTCTCAGGTATTTTTGCCATGAAATGTTTTCAATCGCATACGATGTTTTTAGTGTTTAGTTTGTTTTTGTTTTGTTTTTGTCTGTCTTAAATGTCACTTGAGCCTCTATATAGTCAAGAAAATTTTACTGCCACAGGAGAGGGAGAGGGAATTATGTAAGTGACTAAAGAGAGATTTTTAAAAAATTGAACATCAGAATTATAGATTCAAACTGAGAGTTGGTGGCTTATACATCTAATCCTAGCTGCTCAGGAAACTGAGATCTGGAGGATTTTGATTTATGGCTATCCCAAGCAAGAAAAAAATTCCATCTCCAAAATAATCAGCAAAACCTGAGCTGAAGGCATGGTGCAAATAGTAGAGCACCAGCCAAGTAAGCATCCCAAACAAGTAGGAGACCTATAGTTCAAACCCAGTTACTAGAAAAACTAATTACAGCTTCAAACCAGGAACTTGAGGCCCATGTCTGTAATCTTAGCTACTTGAGAGGATTGATCAAGCAAAAATTTTGTTCTCACTAACTTTTTGTTCTTGCGAACAGCCAATAGCTGGGTATAGTGGTGCAGGCCTTACACAGGAGGCTGAGACCTGAAGAGATTCTGGTCAAAAACAAATTCTCAAAACCCCACCTCAACTGAAAAATCTTAAGTATAGTGGTATGTTCCTGTCCTCACAACTATTACCAGGGAGAATCACAGTCTAGGGCAGCCTAAGCAAAAAATGAGACCTTATCTCAAAAATACACAGAGAAAAAAACGAGCTGAAAGTATGGCTCAAATAGTCAAGCATTTGCCTATCAAGCACCAATGCATATGTGTATGTATATATGTATATATACGCATATAGTATATGCGTATATATACATATATACACATTTCTATATGTTCAACATATTTAAATATTTTGAGCCTTTATAAAAGTGTAATTATTTTAGGTTCTTCTGATTTTTTTTTTTACATTGTAAGTAACATTTTAGTGACATTTTTTGGCTCTCATTTTTGTTTGTTTTATGGTGCTGGGGATTGAATCCAGAACCTCATGTTTGTTCTTAATTATTGAAACCTTTAACTCTACTGCTCATTCATATTAAATGTGATTAGTACATGGCTATAGTTAGATGGATTCCTAGTAAAACCCAGATGCTCATAAACAAAACCCTTTCTACATGCAAGAGAATTACATGGTCATATTCAGAACTGTAATGGGACTTAATGACTAGATCCTTCAACATCTGGTTTTGTCAAACTCCTGAATGAAGTTAGGTGATATAGGCATTATGGTTAGATAAAAAGCTACAGAATTCTTGTATAAATGAGGTTGAATAGATCAAAATCTGGATAACCTCACAACGCACACATCGTGAATGTTTAGTCCTAGAAGAACATCAAAGCAAGAGGTTATTAGTAAGAAAATGAAATGAAGGAAATAAACAATTCTGCTCTATCTGGGAAATAAACTAGACAGACAATTTACTAGATGTTTCCAGCTCACATTTCTGTTCATTAAAAACATTTGCTTATTATTTAGATGACCAGAAGAGCTGGCATGAGAGAGCTCCCATTTAGCGTTTGCTTTTGCTTTTGCTTGAGAGCACGTAGACTGGGAATAGTATTGTGTTGTTCCAAAGTCTTGATTCAAAGCTGTTTGTCATAGCCAGGGCTGCATGGCTCCTTCATTAAGTAAGAAGGACAATCCCAGACAACAATAGGACACATGGCTTTATTGCCTTAACAACCCAAGTGTAGGTAACCACACAAGTCTTTGGATGCTTGCTCTAGGACGGCCCAAATTTGACCATGATGCAGAACCTGGGGAAGAAGACTCCATGTTCCGAGTGTAGGCAAGATGTAAAACAATCATTTCTACAGGGATAAGACACTTCTCACTGCAGAGGAGAATCAAGCTACCTTCCCTTGCCAAAACAGTTGGATTCAAATAGCCATTGCTAATAACTGCAGCTTAGCTAGCCCGACATCTGCACTCTGTGCTGCAGTGGAATGCAAAGTTAATGTACTTTTTCCAAAGGCAGAAAGACACAGCACGTGGAGCATAACTGTGCTCCTGATGTGTAGAGCTGCATCTCACTGTGCAAGAGATTCAGACTACAAGAACAGATGATCATAGAGTGATAACAGAAAAATATGCCAGCCTTGACTTGCTAGGTGAATTATTTTGATGTATGTAGAAAACGTCGCCATTTCTTTGAGGCCCCTCCTTGAAGATTGCCTGGGGGCTGGAAATACTGGAATTATAAATTATTGTGATTTGTTTTCCTTTATCTTATTTATTCTAGGACAAAGGCCCTGACAGGATACAAAATGACCTTTGATCCTTTCTTAGCAATCAATAAAGTTGCTTGGCATGCTTTTTTTTTAAACATCTACATTTGATTTGATCATGAATTAGAATTAAAGGAGTATGAATACTTACCTGAATCCCAAGCATTCTTGTTTTGATTTGTTGGGTGAGAGACTGGAAACTTTTACTACCTTAATAAGGAAATCTGGACTGCATGCTGACTCAGCACCTGATAAATCTTTCCAAATTGCCACAGGTGAAATGAAATGTTAATATCCCTTTCAATTATTAATAAAAAATTGTAAATAGATCTTGTCGGAAACACAGAGCACTGAAAATAAAGTAGTTTAATATGTGCGTAGGTATTTTAGTTCATTTTCTTAAGAACTATATGTCTAAAACTTTTAGAGATTGCAATGAAGAAGTAATTATTTTCATAAATTATAGATATGGCACTAAATATTTTTAAGTTCCATGTTACTGACCAAATAGATTTTAATTGAAGGGAAAAAGTCAAATATAGATAAGGAAAAGGGGGATAATTATTCACAAACCTACCACTCAGAGACATATACACCAATAGTATATCATTTCAAATACTTGTTCTTGCACATTCTTTTTTCCTTTTAATGGACAATTTCCACAAAGCTATCCTCACACAAACAGTTCATTTCAGCCATAAGCCCAATTACCATTTTAATTATCATGTACATCATATTATATGCATGATGGTTCACTTGCTTAACCAATTTTGTTTTCTAGTCCTTTTATATTTTTGTTTGTTTGCTTGCTTGCTTGCTTGATTGGGGTGTGTGTGTGTGTGTGTGTGTGTGTGTGTGTGTGTGTGTGTGTGTGTGTGTGTGTGTGTGTGTCCAATACTGGGCTTCAAATCAGGGCCTGTACCCTGTCTCCTTAACTATTTTTGCTCAAGGCTGGCATTCTACCACTTGAGTCACAATTTCACTTCCAGCTTTTTAGTGATTAATTGGAGCTAGGAATCTGTCAGGTTTTCTTTCCCAGGCTGCCTTCTAACCTTGATCTCAAGATCTCAGCCTCTTGAGTAGCTAGGATTATAGGCAAGAGCCACCAGTGCCCAGTTTTGAAGTAAAGAAGGATGTTCTTGTGTTGTATCCTTGCATTATTGCCTAATGCTTTTGACTCTGTGAATAATAAACTTAAACCACAGCATTCGCCATTTCTTCAGGGAAAAGCTGTGAACTGTTGATTTGAAGGCAATGGGGTTTTTTTTGTTTTTGTTTTTGCTTTAATTTTAGGTTTATGAACACCAGGATGGGAGTAAATCACTGAAGCTGGGTGACTTTGGACTGGCCACAATTGTTGATGGCCCCCTGTACACTGTATGTGGCACCCCAACATATGTTGCTCCAGAAATCATTGCTGAAACTGGGTAAGTGCTTCACCTGTATTTCAAAAGACCTTACAGCATCAAGAACAAGAAATGTAGTACTGTGCTCTTGCACCTACACAGAATTAGATTTCATGGGTTTTCTTTCTTTCCTTCCCTCCCTCCCTTCCTCCCTCCCTTCCTTCCTCCCTTCTTTCTCCCTCCTTTCCTTCCTCCCTCCCTCCCTCCTTCCCTTCCTTCCTTCCTTCCTTCCCCCCCCCCCCCACTTTCTTTCACTTACAATAGGGGCTGTTTTCTCCATCCAGTTGCCAATTACTGCAATCTGGTTTAAGGTTTCTATTTGGCCTTTAGTTAAAAATGAAAGTTTAAAAAAAGATATGAAGCACAAAGTTAAACTTGTTAGGACTCACAGCAAAAACATACATCAATGGTAATTAACTTCCTTCTGGAGATAAAAGAAACAGATACTGCTGTATACAGTATGCAGTTATTATAGTTTTTTCCTTCAACCTCCCTTAGCCTGTCTTGGTCCCATTTTCATCCTCTTGGTGATCCATCAATTTCTTCGGGAGTGTAAACACCCTTAGGCATGAGAGAGTTGTTAGCTATCTACTGGTTTCTGTGTACAGAAGACATTAAATGAAATTACCTTAGAATGTGGGCAGAAACTAAGTAGGATAACCTGTTACTTACCAAGGAGCTACCATCTGCCAGGTCTTAAATTCATTTCCTTAAATTCATTTTCCTGTAAATAATCCTACTTCCACTTTGCACATGGATACAATGAAACTCTTCAGATGGGTGAAATCACCTATAACCTCATGACTCAGTGGCTAGGCTAATATTTGTACTTGGGTTAACCTGAGACAAATAGTCTTTTCCTACAAAGAGCTATTTCTTCTTTAGGGCCATAGTCAACATTCTGAAATGCTGTTCATCAGCAAAAAAAAAAAAAAAAAGGGGGAGGAGAGAGAGAGAGCCCTATTATCCTTTTTTTTTTTTTTTTTTTTGTCAGTCATGGGGCTTGAACTCTGGGCCTGGGTGCTGTCCCTGGGCATTTCAGCTCAAGGCTAGAGCTCTACCACTTCAGCAACTTGAGTCACAGCGCCACTTCCAGTTTTCTGGTGGTTTATTGGCAATAAGAGTCTCATGGCCTTTACTGCCCAGGCTGGCTTTGAACCGTGATTCTCAGATCTCAGCCTCCAGAAAAGGATAGCTAACAGCTCTCTCACGCCTAAGGGTGTTTACACTCCCGAAGAAATTGATGGATCACCAAGAGGATGAAAATGGGAGCAAGACAGGATAAGGGAGGTTGAAGGAAATAACTACAGGAGACTATAATAACTGCATGCTGCATACAGAGGAGCTAGGATTACAGGCATAAGTTTTCTCATGGAACTATGCACCCAAAGAGCAGAAAGGTAAAATGCATGAGGAGGGAACCCTAACTGGCAAATCCCTAGGGTGAGATATGAAGTCATTGGGGATTTTCTAGTTCTCAAATTTGAGTAATTCAAAAGCCAACATAGTACCTTGCCTGATTTCACTTAAGGGTTTTTTTTTTTTTTTCATTGTTGTTGTCTGTTTGTTAGGCTGGGTTTTTGATTGGATGGTTTTATGTTTTGTTTGCAATTGGGGTCATCTAATTTAGCATGCCCTACTAATTAGCCTGGCTAATTTTGCTAACTCTAGTATCACTTATTTTTTCCAGATATGGACTAAAGGTGGACATCTGGGCTGCTGGTGTAATCACTTACATCCTCCTTTGTGGTTTCCCTCCATTTCGTGGGTATGGATAGCAATCTCTCGTTCAGCACCAACAAAGACTCTCTCTAGTCTCAGAGTGTCTATTGGCCCTTCTCACACAAAGGAGCTGGTGACAGAAGAACATCATAATTTCCCTTGCAACGCCTCTTCTTTTATTCCATGTTGTGTGTACTAATTTGTATGCCCTCCATAATTTTTTCCTCCTTTAGTTTAAAAATTAATTCTTTCTTCATTGACAAAAAAACAGTAGCACTTTTCAATAGCTTTAAAATTTTTATTTAAAAAAATGTTTTACACACTTAAGAGGAAAAAGCAAGGCTCCAGTGCTTTGAATGACAAGAAATATCAGCCCTGAGCTGAGATTTCAGTGCTTTTTTCTCCTTGCCATTCATCTACACAGAGGTGGTGATGACCAGGAGGTGCTGTTTGATCAGATCTTGATGGGGCAAGTGGACTTTCCTCCTCCATACTGGGACAATGTTTCTGATTCTGCAAAGGTAAGTTTCCAGTGCCTTCTTTCATGGAGCCTGGATGTCTTAATGAAATGGTTGATTCCCAATCCATATGTGCAGAGACCAATGATGTCATAAATGGTGATTTGACAGACACTGTAGATGTTACTACAAAGACTTGACAGACATTGCGTGTTAGTAATAAGTGATTGAGTGCCTCCACCTTCACAAGGCCTCGTAGGATCTCCACCCTTGCCAGGCTTAAACCCATCTCAGATTTCTTCAGGACGTAATTCCTTGTTTCTTGCTGGCCTTTCTTTTATCTCTCTTTCCTTTCTTCCTCCTTAAATATTTATATATATATATATATATATATATATATATATATATATATTTCTAAGGTTTGAACTCAAAGTTTCCTCTTTTCCAGGCAGTTGCTCTACCTTTGAGCCATATCTCCAGTCCTATCTTGCACTTTTTTGTGTCAGGCCTGAGGTTTGAACTCAAGGTCTTGGCACTGTTCCTGGGCTTTTTTTTTTTTTTTTTTTTTTTGCCTAAAACTAGCATTCTACCGCGTAAACCAGAGCTCCACTTTTGGCTTTTTTTTGTGGTAGTGTATTGGAGATAAGAGTCTCATGGACTTTCCCACCTGAGCTAGCTTAATACTATGATCCTGAGATCTCAGCCTGTTGATTACAGGTGTGAGCCACCAGTGCCTGGCTCTGCACTGTTTATGCTTTTATTTTTTTTCTTTGAGATACGTCTTGCTTCCTGCCAGGGTACACACCTGGACTAAGAGTCTACTGTTTTAAGTTTCTGCTGTAGTTGGATGCCAGGTGTGTACTACCGTGCCCTGCTTCTTTTGTTGGAATGGAGTGTCTTGAGTCTCATGGACTTTTCCATTGGGGCTAGTCTTGGACCTTAGTCCTCTCAATTTCAGCTTCCTGTATAGCCAGGATGATGGTCTCAAGCCATCATACAGTACTTTCCCACACTACCCATATTACCTTGTTTCCAGTTGTGGCTCGTAAGCCATGCCTAATTTGCTTTGTCCTCCTTGTCTGCTTTTCTGTTTCCAACTAAAATACTACATGACTACCTATCTGTATTTATTTACTTAAAGAGATATATAGACATACATAACTAGTAGGTTATGTCCTATGTATGTAGTTTCCTTCCAAACTCTCTCCTCCATGATGTGAATTCTGTGCAAGTGCATTGAACTTATTATTATGTCATCAGTGTCTATATCACGACTGGCTCATAACTGCTGGTCAATGTGCACTCAGCAAGTGAGTAATCTATGAATAAGTCACACATGCAAATAAGCAAAGGGAAGAAAGCTCAACCTCAACATAGTTTGAGGTGATCAAAGGCTCTATGGGGAAGCCATAACTTATGTGAAACCTTGAAGGATAACTGGAGTTACAGTTAGGAGAGAATATGGTGAATGAATTTCAGTGCCACTAAACTAAAAGATCAACTTCTGAGAGGGATGGGTGGTGGTGATGGTTGCACAGCAATGTCAATGTGAATGTATCGAATATAACTGAATAGACGCTTTGAAATGAGTAAAGTTGTGACTTTTGTGTTCATTTCAACATATTTTTTAAATAGTAGTAGATCAACATCTTAAAACCTATAAAAAATTTATACTGAGATGGTCAACTTTGGGGAACAAAAGTGAAATCTTCTAATTAATAAATGTATGCAGACTATCTTTAACTTTAAAATAAAAAATACTATAAAATGTGAAACTTCGAGTGCCCCCATAATGTCACAACTGGAAAATTCCACAGCTGACTTTGTGTGATACATCCTAGCCAAAACCTAGTTAGGTATGCTAACATTTTTGTGTGAAATTATCTTTGGTCTATGTGTATAAGGTATATATGAAATATAAGGTAATCTTATGTTTAGACTTGGGACCCATCCTCAAGATATTTTATGATGTATATGTAAATATTTCAATATCCAAAAAATAATCTGAACCACTTTTGCCCCTAAAGATTTTGAATAAAGGACACCTGGCTTGTATCATTTTCCAAGTACTTACTTACAGTTTTGGAAAATTTGGTATTAAACAATAATTATCTTTGGGGAATTCAATTTGTAGGACTTACGTTGTCCTAAATATGACTTGGCCACTTTGCATATAGAAAACAGTGCATATTGGAGGCAAGTCTCTTATTTCCTCAGCTTCCTACAAATCCCCCTCTGGACTAAGGGAAAGTAGCTGAGATGATATATTTGCAGGACTGAATGAAGCATTCTTATCTATCATTGACTCTTCAGTAACTTGCCCAATGCTTACCAACTCTATAACTTGAGAGATCAAAGACATTGAAGTCTCCTGAATCCCCAAAGCATCTAGCAAAAAACATCACTCTTGGGCATTGCTTTAATAACTCCTGGTCCAAGTTAAAAGGAACTGAAGAAAGCTAAAGTAGACTTTTCACCAGTGGATGTGGATCATGCCCATCCCACGTGGTCCTCAAGCCTGTGGATATCAGGAACTGGGTGTTGCATGTGTAACTATTTTGTTTTTGGGAACTTCTTGTCCAAAGTGGACAGATACAAAACAAAGTCACTCTGAGCTCAGCTCACTTGGAGCTTGTGAGGAAGTTTCCTTCATTTCAAACACCATCAAATTGGTTGCTTCCTCATAGTTCTTTTTTCCTTTCTATAGACTGTCTGGAAAGTTTTGGATCAATCTAAACACATTTACTTAAATTTGTTTGGCTACTGAAGCGGGTTTTCACAGTCTGGCACTGTAGCTCAGTGGTAGAATGTGTGCATTCATGAACCCTGGTGTTCAATCACCGGGGTTCTTGTTTTACTGGCTAGATAGTAGCACTTCTGTCCTCCTTTATTCCAGAAATTGGGAGAAAATAAATTCATTGTTCCTGTCATCTGCCAAAGTAAAAAATATTAAAGTATTTTTTGCCACGCAACTTCTATAAAATAAGAAATCAATTTGAATTGCACTCCCCTTTCTAGTCTTTAACAAGTAGGATTCTTTAACAAGTAGGATTTATTTCTCCTCCATTACATATTTGGATACCAATTTCATTTTATTTTACTATCAACTATCAGCTGTACGTTTATAATTTCAACAGCTTGCCTTGCCTTCAACTTTGAAGGTGTTATTCAGCTACTCATAGGTAGGTAGAGTTGACACAGTTAAGATCAGAGCTTTTATAGGTGCTTTTTGAGTCTAAAAGAGAAGGCCCATATTTGTGAACACCCAGCTTTTCATCTTCAAAGCCGAATAAATGGAGTCTAATATTCTTTTCACAGGAGCTCATCACCATGATGCTGTTGGTCAATGTGGATCAGCGATTTTCAGCTGTGCAGGTCCTTGAGCATCCCTGGGTTAATGTAAGTAGCTCAATAACTTACTCTCTTTTCCTGTTTTTTCCTCTTTTTTAAAATTGTTTGCCAATTGCTAATGATACCACTTCCTTTTAATGTGCCCATACCGGGGCTTGAATCTAGACCTAGGGCATTGTACCCTTAGTAAGAGTCTCACAGATTTTCCTACTCAAGCTGGCTTGGAACCTTGGTCCTCAGATCTCAGCCTCTTGAGTAGCTAGGATTACAGGTGCAATCCACTCCTTTATAAAGTGCTATGCTTGGCTTTGTCCCATCTATGGAATGTGCCAGGTCTGTTATAAGAACCTATACTTGTTCCGTGAGGGCATCTGGTTCCAATGGACCTGCCTTCCAATTAGAGGTGCCTGAGCTCCTTTTCCTCCCACCTTACCACCTGCTTTCCCTGGTTCCGGTTAGATCTGAATAACTATCAGTAAGACACAGCATATTGTTTGAATCTGTCTTGCTTTTATGTCATTTTAGCCAGAAGTACAAGTAGCCTAAAGGTTTCTATGTGACTATTGGAACACTCCAGTTCAGCCCTTCTCAAACTTGGAGTGTGCTCACCAAGCACCTAGAGAGCTCCTTAAATGCAAGTTCTCATCTGGCTAGCTTGAGGTTGTACATTTCTAAGCTCATAGATGTGGCTGCCTTCGAGGGTCTAATGATACCCCTCCAGCAATGAACAAATTCTCCAGAACAGAGTGTGATTTTTTTTAAATTTTTTGTTCTTGTGCTGATACCAGGGCTTGGCCTCAGGGCTTGGGTGATATCTCTTAGCTTTTTCACTAAAGGCTGGTGTTCTACCACTTGAGCCACACCTCCACTTCTGACTTCCTGTTGGTTAACTGAAAACAAAGTCTCATAAACATTGCTATCTGGGCTGGCTTTGAACATCAAGCCTCAGATCTCAGCCTCCTGAGTAGCTAGCATTACAGGTGTGAACCATTGGCACCCATCCTGAGTCATTGGGTTTTTGTTTGTTTGTTTTTGATGGGAGTAGTGGTGACTGGGCTTGAACTGGATGCCCCTGAGCTCTTTCTGTTTAAGGCTAGCAGTCTATCATTTTGAGCCACAGCTCCACTTCCTGCTTTCTGGCAGTTCATTGGAGATAAGAATTTCATAGACTTTACTTCCCAGGCTGGCTTTGAACCACAGTCCTCAAATCTCAGCCTCCTGAGCAGCTAGGATTACAGGCATGAGCCACCAACACCCAGCCTGAGTCAGTGTTTTATATCTTTCTACAAGGGATTAATAAGAGTTTTTTAATGAATAATAACAATACTGATAGAGGGCTTAACTTTAAGAGTCTGCTACATTACTTCAGTCACTTCATAGGCATTAACTGATTGTGTTCTTCTTCCAAATTTAAAACTTTCAAATCTAGTTACTATCATAAGATTTGAATTTAGAAACAGACTTAGGGCCAGGCCCCCAAGGTGGTGGCTACCACCTGTAATCCTAGCTACTCACGAGGCTGAGTTCTGAGGATCTCAGTTTGGAGTAACCTCTGGCAGGAAAGTCCAGGAGATTCTATCTCCAATGAATCAACCAAAAGCTGAAAGTGGAGCTGTGGCTCAAGTAGTAGTGCACTAGCCTTGTGCCAAAAGCTGAGTGAAAACAGGGAGCACTGGGGTCAAACTCCAATCCTGTCAGAGAAATAAATTAAAGAAACAGACATGGACATGAAGAAATGCTCAACCTCCCTAGCCATAAAAGAAATGCAAATCAAAACAACATTGAGATACCACCTCACTCCAGTTAGAATGGCTATAATCAAGAACTCCAATAACAACAGATGCTGGAGGGGATGTGGACAGAAGGGAACCTTACTGCATTGTTGGTGGGAGTGTAAACTTGTTCAACCACTTTGGAAAGCAGTATGGAGGTTCCTCAAAAGACTCCACATAGAGCTCTACTATGACCCAGCAATCTCACTTTTGGGCATTTACCTAAATGTTTACAAACAAGACCACACTAAAGCTACCAGCACGACTATGTTTAATGCATCATTATTTACTATAGCTAAGATATGTTTATTGCAGCATTATTTACTATAGCTAAGATATGGAACCAACCCAGATGCCCCTCAGTAGATGAATGAATCAAGAAAATGTGGTATGTATACACAATGGAATTCTATGCTTCCATCAGAAAGAATGACATTGCCCCATTTGTTAGGAAATGGAAAGGCTTGGAAAAAATTATATTAAGTGAAGTAAGCCAGGCCCAAAGAAACATATGTCCCATGGTTTCCCTTATTTACAATATCTAGTATATGTCTGAGTCAAGCAGAAAAGGTCAGAAAAGGTGATGTTAGGGAAATGTACCCTAACATAAGTATTCAAATGTTTTTTTTCCATGCGATTGTTTCTAACACATTTATAAGATTATTTCTTTGTTGCTTTGTGTATCCCTCCCCCACAGTATAACCCCTGCTTTCACTGTATTTGATGTTGGTATAATTTGTGGAGGGAAGGGGAAAAACAAATCATTTAAATAGGGATACAGGTGGACCCATTGCAACAAATAGATGTACAAGTCGTTATGTCAAAAACAAACTTTACAAATTTGGTGGGGGGGGGGGCTGGGGAGGATTGGGTGGGGGGCAGGGGGAGGATGGGAAGGGGAAACAAAGGAGGAGGCTACAATGCTCGATAAGAAATGTACTCATTATCTTGCCCATGTAATTGTAACCCCTCTGTACAGTATTTTCACAATTAAAAAAAAAGAAACAGTCATGGACATAAAAATGGACAGTTATATATATATATATATACATATATATATATATATGTATATATATATATATATATATCATTGATATACATTTTTCCAGACTCCCTATTGCACTGAGTGATCTGGGTAAGCCTTGAAGGCAATCCAGTGTTCTCTTCATTTTGGTGAGTAGTCAAGTGGTTTCTGTCTAAAATTATTAGAAGAATAAAGGAGAGTTGAAAGCCCAGTCAAAGGGCAAGGGAATTATATAGGAGGTGACAAGAGCTTGGGGTCTTCTTATTCATGTCACTTGATGGCCATGAGCTTAGGTTCTAGTACTTTCCACATCTGAGAGTGCCTTCACAGGCCACTGCCAGGTGATATTATATGAGAAGAGACTGTAAATGACTATGTGTGGCCATGTACAGCTAAGGCTTGTACCTTTTCATATACAGAGCACCCCTCTCAGTGTACAGATGTGCCAAGATGCTCCTCCTCCTAAGCCTTGAGTTAAATGGGGGCTGGGCAGTTCATGGCCAGGATTAGTCACCTCAAGACTCAGCAACCTTTGCATTTACCTCAGGATACTTTATTAAAGTTATCCTTCTCTATAGAATTACAGCAATGGGGAAGCACCATAATTTGAGGTTGGCAACAAGCCTACAGAATGACAGTGTGGGTGTCACAGTACCCATTTCACAGATAAGGAAACTGAGGCCTTGGAGGGTGATTTGCCCAAAGTAGCCACACTTGCAATTGATCCAGAATTTGCAGCCATGTATTCTCACTCTTAGCTCAAAGGCTTTGTACAACATAGCTTCTCTCCCTTTATAATACATAAACTATTGAAAAGGGTGCAATATTGGAATCGGGCTCATTATAAAGATCGTTAGTACTAGTTAGCAACCTTTCCAAACCAACTGACTCAGGGTGTGATGACTTTTCCTTAAGTGTGCTAGAGGGAAGAGCCGCAACACAGCTGCAGGCTCTCCTGGTGGCAGCTGTTGGTTCTACCTGGTCTACCATAGGCCAATGAAAGGCCATTGGCCCACAGCAAGACCCAAACAGGGTGATCTCAAGAAATAAACAGGGAAATCTGAATTAGAAAGATAGTTTTTAAAAGGCTCATGTAGTTTTGAATGTAGTTTTTTAAATGTAGTTTATAAAAATGTAGTTTTTAAAAGGAAGCAGACAGGGAAGAGATTCATAGATGACAAATAGCCAGTTTTGATGCATAAATACACTTTATTTTCCTGTCAGACCCACTAACTAGGAGATGGCTGCAGATGCTGAGCTGGGCCAAGCCGGTCAGATTTAATAGGGTGGGTGCTATGGAAGTTTCCTGGGGAAGAGGCTAGGGCTCAGTCCCACAGGGGTTTGGGCAAGCAGTGTCCAGCAGGACTTGTAGCAGTGGGATGCATGTGGGTTTGTTCTGGAAGATAGCTTTGTGAATGTGAGCAAATATGTCTGTAGACGTTAAGTGTCTAAGAGGCTTTTGGAGAAAACAAAAAACAAAGCAAAAACAAAACAAACAAACAAAAAAACATGGTCCCTTATTTTGGTTGCAAACAAAATAGTGCTCTATTGATAAAATCCCCAACTCATCTGGGGAAATCAAAATTAAGAGGCCTCTGGCCATGACCTTCCTAGGGCAATGTGTTTATGGCTCAGCAGTAACTCTCTCCCTCCTCAGCTTGATCCACCCCATTTTTAGGCAGGGTCCACTTACTGGACTTGATCAAGTCTCCTTGTTCTCTGCAACTTGCTTTCTACCATCATTTCAGTTTTCCCACATGGATTCTCTACAGACCTTTGCCAAGGACAAGGAGGAATCCTCTAGGAAATAAAAAAAAAAAATTTAAAGAGTATCTTTTACATATTTAGAACAAACTACACTGTGTTTGTTTTGGGGGATTTTTTTGGTGGTACTAGGATTCAAATTCATGGTCTCACGCTTGCTAGGCTGGTGTGGTACTGCTCAATATTGGTGGGGGACTAAAGTTAAAATTATTCATTTTGCTCCTTTAAATTTTGTTTATTAGTGTATAGTTGTACAAAGTAAATGGTTTCATTGTCATATATCTATACATACATTTATGGTCATTTGGTCCTATTCATTCTATTTCTTATTTTTCCTTTCTTTTCTGTTTGTTTGTGCCAGTTTGGGGGCTTGAACTCAGGGCCTCACACTCTGGCATACCTTTTGTTGCTCGAGGCTATACCACTTGAGCCATACCTTCACCTCAGGCTTTTTGCTTGGTATCTGGAGATAAAAGTCTCACATACTT